AACCTGCCTCCAGAAGCGGTGAATGCTCCAACACTGGAAGTTTTTAAGAAGAGACTGGACAGCCATCTGTCCGAAATGGTGTAGGGTTTCCTGCCTGAGCAGGGGGTTGGACTCGATGACCTCCAAGGTCCCTTCCAACTTTTTTTTTATTTTTATTTTTATTTTTATTATTATTTTTATTTTTATTATTTTTATTATTATTATTATTATTATTATTATTATTATTATTATTATTATTATTATTATTATTATTATTATTTCCTTTTTATTAGTATGACCACATCTGCAGTCAGAAAGCCAGCAGCAAGTTACAGTTTCAAACCCTGATTCATTGACCTAAGGTATATTCATAGATACCCCTGTTTTAACAACATACTAAACTGCCCAAAAGCAAATAATGGCCCTCAACATTTGAAAAGCGCTTTAATATATATCAACATTTTTAAAGAGAACTTAACTCAGTTTTCATTTACAACTTCAGTGGCATACCATTGCCTTGGTGGGGGGCCATTATGATGACGTCCAGTCTCTCTCATCTTTCAAGGCAAATTTAAATTTGGACTAATCCCAGCAGCAGCCTGTCTGAGGTATGATCTGCTTGACACCAGTCTCTCAGCAGGAGACCTTACAAATGCTCCATGCTTTGATGGCAGCCTTCTCCTAGATACATTAGTTAATAAATAGACCTAACGGCCACATACCTCAAAGTTCTTCCAAGAAAAAAATCTGATTAAATGAGGAGGATAAACAATTATACTGAATGTGTGGTATTAAGGTCTTAAATTTGGATGCCTTTGAATGATACTCCCGTGTCAATTTGACCACAGAATTTGCTTTTGCATACAGTTTATGGCTGTACTTCCTGATTCTCGTTATGTCTGTTAAGAATATCAGCAGCATGTTTTGTGCCTTGGGGTGATGAAGATGGCAAAGAGCAGGGAAGGTGACATAAGGAGAAGGTGAATTTGTTACCAGGGTGTGGTGATATTGAACTAGGAGCACAGTGCAGTCCTGCCCTCTTGATATAGTTTATTCATGTTCTATTGTGGGCAGAATTTTTAAGCATAAAAGGAATAGCATGCAACGTAAAGAAACTTGCAACTATCATATTGTAAAATATAATATTCAGTGGCCATTTTTGTAATACTGGCCATTGAATGTTACTTAGTACAATATGTTATTGCATGCTGAGATAAAATTATATAAAAAAACCATAATAAAACATCTCATGGCACCTTAAAAATTTTGAAAAATGGCCCTGGCATAAGATCGGTAGGCTATAGTCCACAAGTGTTTTTTTCTAAATCACACAATTGAAATTCCTTGGCTGAGGGGGTCTGTAGGAGGCCCCTTCTGCCAGAACAAGCAGGGTGGACTAGTATAAGTATAATTATAACTATATTATTACATTGCTAAAATGCATGTTCTTTGTGGACTTGACTCAACTAGTTCCAAATATAGTCTTAACTACAGATCTACACTATAATTGCAGGACATGTTCTGAATCCATCTGGAAGAATTAATGACTTTCCTGAGTACTTCTAGCTGCCTCAGGAGCTAAACCTGTATTTCCAGTCCTAGAACATCAATCCTTAAAGCTTTATGATCAGATCTAAGAGTCAAAATTGGATTGGAGACTGGGAAAAGTCCTTTTTCATGCTGTAGATCAGTTAAATGAATATTAGACCATGGATTTTCAATGCAATGCAATTAATGCAAATTAATTCAATGCAATTAATAATACTGGAGACACAACCAAATATAAATAGTACAAATAAATGCTAAGATTAAAAAAAAAAGATTAGTTTTCAACCTTACAATGTGCTATGTAAATGCTTGCAGGCTTGTTGCGTGATTAAATATATATCTAACATGATTCTGATAACCTGAGAAGAAATCAGAGATGCAAGATTATTTCTGGCAAAGATGTGCCTCAGAAAACAAGAAAACAACTAGGAGTTGCCTGGCAATTTGCCGCAAACCTTTGAAGCACTGACCTTGAAATGACACTCCTTTTCATGCTTCAGTTCCACTCATCCTCAGTGGTGCTGGATATATGAGCTGTGGGTTGGCCATCAGGTCCTTAATTAAAGTTGCCTGGCAATTCCACCAAAGTCAACAAGGCCAGAGGAGACCTTGGAAGAAACTATGAGTTTCATTTATGTGCTCCATCAACCTCTGGAAAACTATCACTACAGGACATGCATAGCTTGACTCTTCTTTTTTAGATCAAGCCTTGCATTTGCAACTATAAAATTAAACTCTGAATATTAAAAACTGTCCAATGTTAACCATTAAAGATTGATGTTGGCTTAAGTAAGAGATGATTTTTGGCTTCTCTTTATTTGTTGAGATTAAAATATTTGGATCTACCAACTCGCGCTGCAATTATATTAAGCTGTTGTTTTAAAAATCACACCACGTGGTATATGTATATTTTTCGTAAACCTATTAATTTGCGTTAGTTCAAATATCAAATCATAAGTATAAATATCAGCTATGCTGCTATGTGATTGCAATCAAGCTACAAATAAAAAGTCATTTATATAAATTTAAAAAAAAATTAAAAGAATCTTATAATGCTGAACTCTGTGCCAAGGAATAACATATATGTGTGTTTATGTGGATAAATGTTCTTCTAAAACTTTGTCTACTGTAAATTTCTTCCTTCAATACGCTTTCAGGACTATATGCTCATATATCAAATTTTGTGAAAGGAAAAGCATCTATGAAATAGTTCAAAGGAATATCATCCTCCATTTTTCCCCCCATCACTGCCAGAAAAGCATTTGGCCAGTCTAGGAAATACTATAGTATGCTGGATTGAATATTTTAGAGTTATTTTGGCCTACATGGCAGTTTATCTACTACTGTACATAGTGCTACTATTTTAGCAAACCTGTCAATTGATTCCAATTATTTTTTCTTAGCTTCATCTACTAGTGTGATTTAGTGCATGACTTAGCTAATTCAGCAAAAAAGTAATAATAATTCTATATGCAATTCTGTATTTTTCCTGATTATGCATTTCCTGCAGGTGATTTTTATTTGTTACAATGTAATTATTATCTAATATATTATTGTTGGGTGCAGAGTATTCAAGAAGTGAACAGATGTGTTTTTATATAGATTTTCATAGTTGTAAACAGAATTGCAAAATTCTAAAAAATATAAATTTTGGTGCACGTGTATATCTGAGGACTACAAGAAGTAAGCAACCTGATGTTATCCAGATGCTTTGGATTCCAACATTTATCAGTCTCAACAATATGACTAATGGCAAGAAACTGGAGATTGCATCTAGAGATCCAAAAGCATCTGCATCCTCAACTAGTTAAAATGTTGGAAAATCAAACATGTACATAGAAAAGCCCTTCCATTCATACTTGCATCCTGCATTTGCCACAGGTACTGTATGTAACTTGTGGGGTTTGAGTTGGGAATTCATGACAGAAGCGTTGTTATTCATTCCCCTTTGCTTCCCCCCCCCTCCAAATGTTGTCTACCTCTCTATCAGGCCTGTGTAAGGTGGAATTACTGTATGTTGTGGGGCTACCTTAAATCTGATTGAAGGAGCAATGCCTCATCTTGAAAAAGCAAGTGTCACCTCAAGCTCCTATCAAAATGGGCAACTATACTTTGCTTTATCAGGATATAAGACCATAGAAAGACCATGGAAAGTTCTGGAAGCATTGCTGCAAAATGGTTTGGCCATGATAAAGCTTTGGTAAATACCTGAGACTACTCAGGTTCATGTAGCAACTTCAAAGGGCACTTTGATGAACCTTTGCATATCCTCATGTGTACCATGCAATCACATTAGCCAGTAATACTAAAGTAATATTCTACCTGAGGAAATTCAACTGAATTCACAGTACAAAGTGCCACTTCGCACCATGCT